CGGGCGTTCGGGTTCGGGCGTTCGGCCCGTCCCGAACGTCGGCAACCCTGTATACATATATAAATTAGAATTTTTATTTTACATTTGGTAAATGATTTGGATGTGACCCTAAGGGAAAAGTTGTTCCGTTTATTTCTCTGCATAACATAGTTTTGTTTTGGATTTTTTAGATTTTTTTTTTTTTTTTTTTTGGGCTGGGACATTCCCTGTTTCTTTCACGGTCGGGTCACGTGGTAAAATACAGTGACCCGAGCGGCCTGGCTGGTAGTCTAGCAAAAAAAAGAAAAAAATGAAAACAAAATTTTGTTACAAATGTATGTTATGTAGAATTATGATAAAAAAAAACAAATTCCCAGGAGTCATCCCCGAATTCCCAACCAAACTCGAGTAAAAAATCAACAACTTGCAGAAGGTAATATTAATAATTTAATATATTATCATAATTAGGGTGACCGGCGTTCGGGATGGGCCGAACGCCCAGAACCCGAACGCTCAAACGTACGGGACCTCTTGGGGATGCGTTCGGTCATTCGGGCCGAACGTGGATCCAAAAAAACAAAAACAAAAAAAAATCAAAAAATAAAAAAAAATTGAAACACAACATATGTTTTGCAGAAAACTAAACTAAACAACATTTGCATGAGCATTACATCCAAATTCCTTACCAAATTTGAAATAAAAATACAAAAAGGAAAATAAATAAAAAAAAATAAAAAGTGAAATTAGATAATTAAATTAGTGAGTGCGCAAACCCGTTTTCAACACTGTCATCTTTGGCGATTTTTCAATTTTTTTGGCATAGCCAAATGCCTTGCAACTTTACATATATGTACTTCATATAATATAAAACTCATGCAAAAAGTTAAAAAAAATAATAAAATATTTAAGGCACAAAAACAAAATCACAACAAAAAGTGAAAAGTGAAAAATAAAAAGCAACTGAGTAGCCGATCACGTTTTAACACCGCCATCTTTAACGATTTTTCATTTTCGTTAGACTTGGCAAAATGCCTTGAAACTTTATATGTGTAACGCATGTCATACAGAACTTACCAAAAACCTTTCAACAAAACAAGATCATTTTTAGGCACCGAAATAATTTTTGGTGGGGGTTGAACCTCTTCAGGTCGACCCCCGAACGGAACCTTGAACGCTCGAATTTGCGGGGGTCAGCCCGGAGGTTCCCGAACGTTCGGCCTGGTAACCATGATCATAATAGTAAAAACATTATTTAAAAAAAAATTAGTTTGATTTTTATTCTTTTCAAGTTTTCTTCAAACGTTTTTATTTTTAACTCAAGCTTGGTTGGGAATTTAAGGATGACTCACATACAAAAATTGTTTGTATTCTTGATTTCCATCTTGGTTACCAGGTTCAGTTTAGGGAGCCTGGTATACTTGCATGGCCTGGTAACCATGATCAGTTTAGGGAGCCTGATATACTGGGCGCACCTAGGTAATCTAGGTTTAATACTAGGTAACCTGGTAACCTAGATGAAGCAGCCTTGCATACTTCATCTAAGTGCGCCCAGTATACCAGCCTTGCATTATGTTGTGGAAATCAAGAATACAAACAATGCATTATGTTTGCATTTTGTTAGGCACTCATACTGGGCGTACCTAGATGAAGCATGCAAGGCTGCCTAACTAGGGTGTGCGGGTCGACAGAGGGTAGAAAAAGTGATGGGTAAAGGAATCATGCAAACGACTCCTAAGTGAGGAAAATCGGAGTTAGATCCGTAAGCTGGGAAGCCAGGGCAACGCTACGGTCCCGATGCCTATGCGTATACCAAGGGAGAGTCAAACTAAGGGGAATCTGGCTAAGGGAGACCATCAGGCGACACAACCAAGGTATTGTACAAGGTAAGGCGGTAAGAGGGTGACAACGTCTGAAGTAGGGAGAGCTGATTGTGACGAAGTCTGTGAAGCTGCAAATGACGTCCATAATGAGAAGTTCGGAATGTTGTCGAGGAAGAGCCACAACGTCAACGAGCTGAAGTAAAAAATTGTTGTGGATGGAGTACCGAGAAGTCGAAGACGTGGGAAGAGAAGTCAGAGTCAATCGTCGTATCGAGCAGGACGGACGACGAGTGCGTTGTGGATGCTCAGAAGCATCTGGCTGCTGCTGAAGGCCTGCCTCAGATGGAGCAGGCTTGATTTCAACGGTCTCCTCAGCTGAGCTGAGGGAGAAGAAAGAGGGTCAGTGGACTAAGGAGGAGCAGTCAATCCAGCACGACGAGCACGTTCATAGGCACGCACCAATATGTGAGCGTGTTGCAAGTGCTCGAGGGGCTTCCAAGTAGCCTCCTGATCAGGGTAACTCTTCCAACGTACGAGATATTCGACGTGAGGAGCGTTGTCGTTGGTGACTCGGCGACCAATGATGTCTGAAACGAGGAACTCCTCGTGACCGTCCACCATAATGGGTGGAGGGCGCTCGTATGGTCGTCCAACGAAACGCTCAGACGGTTTGTGGTAGGGATGCAGTAACGAGACGTAATAAACATCGTGCACACGGGCCAGGCATAGGTAGTCGGGCGGCTTCACACGGAAGTTCACCGGGCTAGATGCCGTATTAGAACCGACGACCTTGAGAATGTAGCATGAGCCAAAGAAGTGACGCCGAAACTTGCAAAGCGTGTCCGCTTCGAGCTGTAAGTGGCGGGCGTCAACAAACACATCATCACCAACTTTGAATGGATGATCCATCCTCGATCCGTTCACATGTGCGGCCATGAGTGTCTGGGAAGCGGCTTTGTGGTCATGCCCAGACTGCATGATCGACGTCATGTATGCAACCCAATCATCCAACGCGGGACAACTCGTGTCGGTGTGCAACTATGACGGTCGAAGGAAGTCCTCGGGAACATGAGGGTGATAGTCGAGGTCGGAATAGTAAGGCGACATCCCTGTGGCTGGCGAGACGGTGTGGTTGTAGGCTATCTCCGCGTGGGCACGATGTATATCTCACTGTTGGTCGTAACGAACAATCTTTCGGAGAATATCTCCGTGAGTCCTGTTCGTGACCTCGGTCTGACCATCAGTCTGGGGATGGTAAGACGAGGAGAAGCCCAGCTGTGTACCGTACACCTCGTGGAGTCGTCGCCAGAATCGGCTGGTAAAACGTAGTTCACGGTCAGATATGATGCTTAGAGGTAAGCCATGGTCACGCACGACTTGGTCAAACACGATGTCGACGACCTCACGTGTATTGATGGCATAGCGGCATGGAACAAAGTGTGCGCGCTTGGTGAAGCAGTCGACGATGACCAGGATAGCATCATGACCGCGGGGGGTCGGAGGTCGAAGAGGACCGATAAAGTCCATCGAGATGGACTGCCAACGACCCTCAGGGATAGGAAGAGGCTGGAGCAAACCATAAGGTAGGTGGTTCGCACTGTTCACCTCCTGACAGGGGGGACACTCTGCGACGTAGTCCTTCACAAAGTCCTTGCGCTTCGGCCAGACGTACAGGCGGCTCACACGAGCCAACGTCTTGTGGAAGCCCATATGACAGGCGGCTACCTGGTCTTGGAACTCTGCTACTGCTTGGACACGTAGCTCTGCAGTGGAGGGAACACAAATACGGGGCTCTTTGGTGCCTTGTGAACTGTGCCAGTACACAAGACCGTTGTCCCCGAGAGAGTAGTTCGAGACGGTCTTGCCACTCCGAAGGGTCGCATGGATGTCGCGATAGTCAGGGCACTGGCGGTACTGAGTGCGAAACTCGTCGGTCACCGAGTGGTGGACGGTGGTGACCTAGATGGTAGCGAGCTGGATCTGCTCTAGATCATGGTCACGACGCCGGGATAAGGCATCTGCGACCTGATTGGTCTCACCCTTGATATGCTCAATGGTGAAACTAAACTCGGATAGGTCGTGCCATCAGCGAGCCTGTCGAGGAGTGAGCTTCCGTTTTGTCAGAAAAGCCTGGACAACAGAGTTGTCTATGCGCACCGTGAATGGTGCCCTGTGCAGGTAGTGACGCCCGTGCCGAGTGGCATAAACTACTGCGAGAACCTCACGTTCATCAGCGGTGTAGTTTATCTCGACGGGCAGGAGCTGACGGAAGTAGAAGGCTATCGAACAATCACCTGAGCAAGACTCGACAGTGTTGTCCTCGACGATGGTAGGAGAATAGTCAATAAAAGGCTCGTCAGTAGCTGGACGACTAGGCGTCAGGCGGGAAGCAGTTGTAAGGGTAGGAGGTGGGAAGTGAGGAATGCGAGGATGGGAGGAATCAGGAGAGGAGGGAAAAATCTGAGAAAGCACTGCGCCTACAACAAAGTCTGACGCATCGATGGTAATAATAAAGGGGCGATGAAAATCGGTTAGGTGGAGAACTGGTGCAAATGTCACCGTCTTCTTGAGGGCGTGGAAGGCGTCCTCGTGGAGGGGTGTCCAAACCCATAGCTGGTTCTTCCAAAGGAGGGTAGAGGTAAGGACATGCGAGTAGGAGGCGTAAGCTCAGATGAACTTACTGTAATAACTCGTAAGTCCAAGACAACTGCGAAGCTGCTTGACGGACTTGGGGTTAGGCCAGTCCGCGATAGTAGTAATCTTTGAGTTGTCCATGTGGAGACCCTGGTCATACACGTAGTGTCCTAAGAAATTCTCTTTGCATTGGGCAAAACGACACTTGCTCAACTTGGCGTAGAAGTCATGTCTGCGCAAGTGGTCAAGAACGTCGCGGAGGTGTCTGAGATGCTCCTCAACGGTACGACTGTAGATCAGGATATCGTCGAGGTAGACGAGAACGTACTGCTCCAAGATGTCCCTGAAGATGTTGTTCATCGTCGTCTGGAAGGTAGCGGGTACGTTAGAGGGGCCAAATGGCATCACCGTAAACTCATAGTGGTCGAAGTGTGATCGGAACGCTATCTTTGGGTGGTCCGCTGCAGCGACGCGGATCTAATGGTAACCGCTACGAAGATTAATCTTCGTAAAGAAGCGGTTGCCCGCTAGGCAGTGGAACAGCTCGTCGGAATGAGGCATGGGGGTTGTTCTTAACCATGTAGCGGTTGAGACCACGAGGCAGAAACGGAGAGTTTCATCCGCTTTGCGAGCAAAGAAGACGGGTGCACTCCACGAGGAGTTGCTGGGTTTAATGAAACCCAGTCTCAGGAACTCCTCAAGCTGACGCTTGAGTTCGGTGGTCGGCGATCGAGAGTTCGTAGGGTGCATGGTGGTGAACACGATAGTCAGACACAAGCTGGATGGAGTGCTCAACGTCACGCATCGGTGGGATGCCTGCGTAGGAGAATGACGATGGGAAAATGTTGTGGTACTCTCGAATGAGGTCACGAACTGCGGGCTCCAGGTCGACCGTATAGCGTGGGAGTTCCTAAGTGTCAACGTCGGCGGGCGACGACGAGGTGGACTCGACGGACGACGGAGGGAGAGAAGTAGAGATGGGAGGCATGGAGATAGAAGGAGGATTTGGCTCCAGAGAGATGAGCTCGACGTCGGGACAGGGTGGATCATAGTGCAAGAGATCCGTAACGTTCACCGTTAAAAAATGTGACGTCGTCCTGTCGATGAAGTGAGCGAACTGCCGAGGCGAGGTGACGGTGCTAGTAGGAGATGGTGTGGGCACGAAAGGCCCCGTGAGAGGAGGATCGGGCGTGGTATCGCAGTGGTACCTATGAAAGGTACACGATAGGTCTGTCCACACTTCGTTTTGAGAACGAGAGTGTTTGTCGCCCAATCAGCCTCGGTGCTTCGGAACCCACGAGACCACAGAGTACCGAGAATGAAATCGTACCCCATCTCCATCACATTGAAATGTGCAGAGGAGCGGTGGCGACGAGATGCCGGGGAACGATCAGTCGGCTCGAGAGTGAGGAAGAAAGGGAGGTTGGTGACCTTTTGATTGAAGAAGCGTTGGGTCTTGTCATCTCCTACAGTGAGGGAGATGGGATTCGGAGACCCTATCGTGGATAAGTGTGCATCCTTCACCACCCGTGGGTGAATGAAGTCGCCCTGAGATCCGGAATCCCACAACGCTAAGTACACCTTCGTGGAGGTCCCGAGTCCTACTGGAATGATCGGAAGCGTGCGATCAGGGTCAGAGAGGATGGCGAGAAGGCGACGCAGTGCAACGACATGGAGGGTGAGTCATTTTTGACGAGCCTGAAGCATGCTAAAGTCCAGAAGGGAGGACAGAACGTCCTCATGGTTCACAAGCGGCTCGCTACAACGGGTTGAGTGAATGGCTCGGCGCGTCGGTAATCGAGGAGAGGTAGGAGGGGAGACGGTGGTTTGCGGAAGTGCAGACGGTACTGCGACAGAGGGCCGAGTCCACTCTTTCGGATCCTGCGATACCTCAACTCCAGTAGCGAGAGGGGCAAACCACGATAAAGATGTCGGAAAGCCGACTACCGAGGAGAGCGCAGGTGTACACTGCACCATAGTTAGGAGGTGCCACGGGGATGCGCGGCGCCGGGGGGGGACCGAGCACGACACTGGCGGGAAAGCTCGGCATACTGGCGGTCGAGGGCGGCAGTGTAAGGGCACCGCGAGGAGGTATGACCGTCTTGGCGGCAGCGTAAACACCCACGCCGACCCAAAATGGTCGTGCCTCCCACAGTGGAAAGGACACCACAAGGAAGGACGAAGCCCTAAGGGAGGTCCTGCTGAGGGACCTTAGGGGGCGACGAGCGAGCGTGACCAGAGCGGCTGCGTGCTCGAGAGAGGGTGGAGAGGACGAGCTGGAGGCGCTCGACTATAGGGAGGGTAGAGTCCTCCGGGTGGTAGTGGAGGGCCTTGCAGAGGTCAAGCTCGTCACTATGGTCACCCTCAGACGATAGCGGGGCAACAACATCCTGCTCATCATCCCCAAGCGCGCTGAAGCGGCGTAAGAAGTAGAGGTCCTGCTGCGGGGAACGGCGGGGACAACCGTAGAAAGGGAAACAACGTTGGGAAGTGCCGTGAGAGAAGGCGGGAGCGTAACCAGTACGCTGAGGCTGGGAGGAGGAAGCGGGGTGAAGATGGACCCACATCCGCTGATGGGCCCTGGCGGTCTCGTAGGCCTGCGGGGCCGATGTAAAGTCATACCGCCATAACTCAGAATGGTACTGAAGGGGAAGGCTTGCCAAAAAGTGATCGATGAGGGCAGCCTCGGGGAGGAACGCCACATTGCAAATGAGGCAGGCGTCCTGAAAGACTTGGATGTGGCAGTTCAGGCCGACAGCGCCACTAGAGCCGGACCAGCGTGTACTGACGACACGCTTGAAGGCGTCGGTCACCTCGTGTCGGGCTTCAAAGCGATCCTCGAGGAATGCCTGAAAATCCACGAAGGTCGGGGTTCGACACTCACGAAGGGAGTGAGTGTAGAAATCCTCTCAGGCGTCGAAAGGATCGCCACGCAGGCCCGTGGAGAGGTAAGCCACCCACTGGTAAGGTGGGACGACCATGAGCTGGAGCGTGCGAGTGGCAGACTGCAGCCACCGAGGCACACGTATCCATGTACCGTCGTACAAGGCAATGTCCGTCAAGCGGACGAGTGGTGCGCCACCATTTTGGCAGCGAGGAGATTGAGGAGCAGAGGCCTGCGCTACGGCTGAGTAAGTCGGTGCCGGTCCTGGAGAGGGGGGCGCAGTTGCTGTATGACCGGACCGCATGGTGGAGCGGCGCGGGGAACAGCGGCACGCTGTGCGGGAGTTGTGGTAGAAGAGGTCGCAGCAACCGATGAAGTAATAAGGAGATAGGACGGGGATGTTTGGGGTGCAGGGCGAGGGAGGCGAGCCTGCATGGATGGAAGAGTAGAGGAAGAAGGGGGTGCGCCCGAAGGCGCGGCCACTGGTGAGGGTAGGGGTGGTTGAAGGCGTAAGAAGACGAGGTCAGCCCAGGTCTGGGCAAGCTTGGCCTCAAGACGTCGGACATAGATCGAGCGAGGAATAGTGGGAGGAGGAGTGGGGGAAGTAGACGCACGAGCGGCGCTGGGCATCCTATAAGGGGGAGAGTCAGGTGGCGCTGCGGTCGTGCGGAGGGGAGGGAGAAGTGGGGCACCCGGAAAAGTTGAGACAACGACAGAGGGTTGTGGTTCCGTGGCCGTAGTGAGCGGAGTCTGGGCGGGTGCGCCCGTAGAGTGAGGAGACGTCTGGCCCGTGACTGCCGTCGCGCGAGGAGCATGGACGGTCACCAAAATGGTCGGATCGGGGGTAGCGGAGGAGGAAGCTCCGTCGTGGTCACCACATCGGAGGACTAGGGACCCGGACTGGGAGCAAGGAGAAGAGAGAGAGTTAGGAGAGGAAGGACGCGTAGTGTCCTGGAGTTGCCGCATGCCAGCAGCAAGAGTCGCCACCTGCGCCTGTAAGGGAGGAAGGGTCGCCAGTTGCGCCTGGATGGGGACGAGGAAGGAGGTGAAGAGGGTGTGCAGATC